TATGTATTTGAGTGAGTTTGTGTGTGTGTGTGTGTGAGAGTGTGCTTGTGTGTGTATGTTTTTGTGTGAGTGTGTATGCGAGAATGTGGGTGTGTTTTTGTCTATTTGTTTGAGAGAGTTTGTGTGTGTGTGTGTCTATGTGTGTGCATGTATGTGTGTCTATGTGTGTGCATGTGTGTTTGTGTGAATATGTGCTTGTGTGTTGTTTGTTTGTATGTCTGCATGAGTGTGTGTGTGTGTGTGTATGTATGTATATGAGAGTATGTGTGAGTGTGTGAGACTGTGCTTGTCTATGTGTACGAGAAACTATGTTTGTGTTTGTGTGTGTGTATGTACTATTGTATGTATTTGAGTGAGTATGTGTTTGGGTGTACTAAAGTACATGATCTATGGTCTATGTGTATGAGAAACAAAGTGTGTGTGTGTGAGTGTTGGTTTGTTTGTGTGTCTGTATGTGTATGTCTTTGTGTAGACATGGTAAACTGCGTGTGTCTGTGTGTATGGGTATGTGTTTGTTTGTGTGTGTCGTACTTGTTCTCAGGGTTGAGCAGTGGACAGGCGCAGGGTTTGCAGTCGTCTGTAAATCCTCGCACTACACCGTAAAACCCCGCAGCACAGCGCTCACACTTATCACCCACTGTGTTGTGCTGACAATTCTGCAGACAACAGCACAGCATTAACACACTATTAAACATTTAATAATCATTAACATATTCTGATTCTGGAGCACAAAACATGCTTTATGTTGCATAGATATATGCTGTACAAAAGACAAAAATACCCTCTACTTGAGTCAAAATGACAGATTTTTCTTTTTTGCCACATTATAATGATTATAATATAAAAAAATATCGCGATCCATGAAGTTATGTTGTACATGTCATACTGTAAATAAATCAAAACTTAGTAATGTCACTGCTAAGCAGTTAATTTGTACAAACTATTTTGTTTCTAATATTTGTTTCTCAATATTGAGCTTTTTCACATTCTTATTTTCTAGATTTTCCAATAATAGACTGGGGCAGGGGTGCCCAAACTCGGTCCTGGAGGGCCGGTGTCCTGCATATTTTAGTTCCAACCCCAACTAAACACACCTGAACCAGCTAATCTAGCTCTTCTAGGCAGGGCCGGCGCGTCCATAGAGGCAATCTAGGCGGCCGCCCAGGGCGGCAGAATAGAGGGGGCGGCGTCCCCAACACTACCCTCACCCCTCTGCGCCATCAGTTATATCCGCTTCTAGGGTGGCAGAATAGAGAGGGCGGCGTCTGCGACACTACCCTCACCACCAGCGCCCTCTTATATCCGTGTCTAGGGCGACACAATAAAGAGGGCGGCGTCCCCGACACTACCCTCACCACCCACGCCCTCTTATATCCGTGTCTAGGGCGACACAATAGAGAGGGCGGCGTCCCCGACACTACCTTCACCACCCACGCCCTCAGATATATCCGCGTCTAGGGCGGCAGAATAGAGAGGACGGCATCCGCGACACTACCCTCACCACCCGCGACCTCTTATATCTGCATCTAGGGCGACAGAATAGAAAGAGCGGCATCCGCAACACTACCCTCACCACCCACGCCATCTTATATCCGCGACTAGGGCGACAGAATAGAAAGGGCGGCGTCCGCGCACTACCCTTACCACCCGCACCCCTAAGTTATATCCGCGTCTAGGGTGCCAGAAT